AAGAGACAGTATAATCCTTATTCATCCATTTGACCGAGACTTCGCCTCAAGGCATTTGAAACAGTCCATATCTTTAAACTGATGGCCAGTACTCCCGAAGGATGCCTTTTTGCGGCCAGAAATGCAACCTGAGAACACTTTGGTCGGTCTCAGCGTTTATGGGTAAGCTGACGCCTTCAAAAATTTCACTCGCTCGCGACAGCTCAGGCTGTAGGTAAAAAAACATCACCGCCGGCGGGGCAATACCACCAGCGTAGCCCAGTTTAGCCAGCTAGTGTCCAGGTGCGAATTCGACGCGTAGTGCTGCTCCGAGAATTCATTCTGGTGTAGTTAACAAGAACAAAACTTCGGCGCAAACATTGGCAAGTGTTGGGTTCTTGGAATAGACAAGCGTGGACGAGAATCCGAAGGATGGTGGAACGATAGTATGACCTGGCAACAGCTTTAATTGTCGACAACGAACAAAGAAAGGAGCTGAAGGCAGCAACGATGTCAATAAATTAAACGACCATCGATTGTTGGTATTCATTGAGGACATCAAGAATGTGAAGATTTTTTCAGTGCATCTAAGTGTATCTTCCTGTTTTTAGGAGAGGTGCAAAGACTTTAACAGGGATGACGTCTGCTCAAGGTGCCACTTCTATGTACAGCCTCCATGCTGTGTCTACACTTTGCTGAGGGAGGTTCACAAGACGGTGAGAACGATAAAAGAAAAGAAAGAGGGAGCGTACAGCAAAGTTGTAATGATCTAAGCTTTCAATCGAGCGCTCTACTATGGTTGAGTTGATAGCAATACGTCGGCAATTACTATCACGAACAGTTGTTTGAGCGCAATGAAAGTTTGAGGCTTACCCAGCGGAGATCGCAATTCAACCGAATAGTTCTGGTGGTCATCTCGGGTCGAGTGTGCTATCATGTTCGAAGCTCACTGGAGGAATGGCCGTTGAGGAATGTCGCTCAAATTGCGAAGGCAAACAAGTTATTTCGGAGTCACTACATAGACTAGCGAATCTTTTTAGCCATCTGTAGGAGTCAGGACTGCAGTTACTGTTTGCTACGACCGTCTACTTCGATCTGATTTCGTCAACAGGATAACATGAGTGTGCTCAGTCTTAGCTATGTTGTGTTGTCGTACGTAAAACAGTCTTTCACTTGACGGCATGAAAGCGATGAGAGGCGAAAGCTAATGCATACGTGAATTAAGACTTGACCTGATACATCGTGAATGCCTGTTTTAGTACAACGCATTCATTGTGAACCTAACTGTAGAGCTCACCAGCTTACGTTGGAGACAGTCGCTAACTAGGCCGGTGCAAAAACGGATAATCAGAAAGGAATTATTTACATTAGCAGAATGGCGTCCGCTACTGACAAAATTGAATGCCTACAGTTCTAAAATGTTGTAGGAAGTGTTTATTGACTTAACAGGCCTTAGCCGATCCACACCCACCGATAAGTTGGAGAACTTACTCGTCCCGTTCTCTCTTGGGGCTCACTCTCGAGCACTGCAAAAAATCGGTGAGTCCACGGCTCAATCGTTAGAGCGCTGGACTCCAAATCAACCAGTTGCGGCGTCGAACCTTGGGTCGTGCACTATCTGGAATTGGGTAGGGCTGGCTGATGACGGCCAGAAAGCTAGACAAGGCCATTTGAGTCTCCCTTGTCTTTTTCGCCAATGTTCATTGGCGGATTTTTTCGATTGAAATGGTGAGTCAGCAAGACACCAGGTATTACTGAGAACTGCATTGACAACGTGGGTGCCCTCGAACTGGTTCTTAGGACTTCCCCTGCTTGTTGCTTATTCATGACATACATCTGGTACTTCATAGACAGACTCTGCACTTTACCTCATATTATCCTAGTTTTCCTATCAAAGACTAGACTTCCATATCTGTTTTGGTACATATGCCCTTTTTACTACCATTATCGCGATTGCCTGAAACCAGTGTTGGATCGTTATCTGGTAT